AGAACATATACAGTATTGGTTACTAATTGCTTTGCCAATTTAGAGCTCTTTTCTTGCACTTAGAAAGTGAGAAACAATTCTACTCAATAAGTCCAAAATCTCAATGCATCCCTAGTGAGTTTTCTTAAACCTGCAGCAGTACATTCACACCAATATCATTCACCTGATGAAGACCACTGCATGGTCGAAAGCTTGGGGAATTATAAATTTGTTAGTCTGAAAAGTGCTGTTTGTCTTTAATTTACTGTTACCAATATCATTATGATTAGAACATTACATTCTTTAAAGTAAACACTCCAGAGATGTGTGTAACATTGTGTTTTAATGTCTCCATATATCACAAATCAAGCAAGCAGAGACTTTGTACAATTAAACTAACTTTCAAATTACATTTACTCTTAATTCTTACCAGTCTATGATGGAAAAAGAATAATGTACATTATTAGTGCGCTTCATGTCCTAATAAGGCTGACGCTTAGGTGTCTGGAATGTTGATTAAAGTAGACATTTAATAACAAGTGTAGGACGTGAAGGAGGTTCCTCTAAATTAAGGAATTAAATTGAATTAATTGTTGGCTATACACATCTAAATCAAAAAACTACCAGCCATGCCAAAAAGCACATTTGATGATGATGGCTTTTCTGTCTTTAATCTTATCCACTTAATAACAGAGATGTTTAGTTATGCCACAGACCCTCTCATATAGGGTCTGTGGTTATTCTGTGTTCGAAACAGTGCAGCACCAGTCTTTTTAGTGGATTGAGTAGTATACATACAAATAACAAATGATCCTCTTTTCCAAACTAGATACTAAGTGCCTACCTACGACTGGTTAGGATACTGTAGTCATGGACCACGCCCATATGCAATTCAGCATATGGGTTTTATTCTCCTATCTTTACCCCTAACATGCAACAAATGCTTTAAACATCTAAGACGGTGTATCATTACATAACCTGTATTACACAAAGCAGATTGGTGTTCAACCAGTGACATATAGATTCCATGTTTAGCAATATTACTGACACTGTGCAGTGCTGCAATAACAGGGTTCTCAAGCACCATGGAACGGAAATACATACAAACTATGCAAAAATGCGATTCGGCCTAAATTTATGGGAAATCCCAGATAAAACATGATATTACGACTAAATCAACATCCCACACCACGAAACACGATCCTGTTCCCAGGTTTCCGTGATCGACTGTATGAGTGACGATGATACTATAAACCGCAGCTGTACTATACTGCAACTTTGAGCAACCCATATCTTGCACTCAATTAGGTGCTATGGAAATTTTTCATTTTTTACAGAAATCTAAAGACAGTTACGAAAATGCATTTTACTAACTTGAGATGTCTGCAAATAATAGAAAGTAAATTTGTATCATTTGGTCACTAATGTAACCTTACACACTGCATTTTGCTTGTTTTGCTTTTTGTAGCAAAGAGTCTGCAGAAACATTAGCAGAACTGCATGTTTTCCTTAAATCAAGTTGGAGACAGTTGTTGAGTTTGAAAACAAATAAATTACTCCGCCATGACAGAAAAGAAAAAAAATGCAACAGACTGAACCAAGTACATCCAATACTACACTACAAATTTATAATCAAGTTTAACCATAACAATCAAATGGGTGTACTAGTATAAATCATTGACATTCAGAAGATGGCACTTGCATGTTGAATAATAGCTAGATCAAATATTTGAAAAATTACAAAATATAATATTGACACAGTCTTAACATGAAAAATTTCATTAATATCCTGTCACGATTATACTGCAAGTGAAAAACTCAACTTCAATTCTGAACTACTGCGTATACATATTATGTCCATGTTGTGGTGAGTGAATGTTTTGGCTTCTTCTTTGCAATGCCATACTTAGTAATAGTTAATAGAAACATATCAGTTCTTATCAATAGAAAGGAGTTCTAAAAATAAAGTGCTATATCACGTTAAACAATCACAAATGAAAGGATTCTGAATCGGAGTATGTATTATTTTCTGGTACCCTCCAGCGAATACATTAACACCATTCACTATCTCGGTGTAAAGTAATGAAAAATCCAGTCAAGGTCTCAACTAATCCTATCGTATTCACATGATTGTTACTGTGCTCTTTGCTAAAGATGAAAGTCTTAAACGATGTGTAATTTCCATTTCCTTCATGATGTTTATAACAATTTAAACAAAACAGATAGCTGATCGTTACTTTTGTGGAGTAATACAACTAGTTTGTAGAGACAACAATGTGAATTCACTAAGAGGCTACACTGATTGATAAATAAGAACCATAAAAAAAAGTAAAGGAATCTGCATCGATTTGTTTTTCTTAACCAATTAGTCCATCCCATTACCATACCTATTGTAGCAATGGATGTTTCCAGAGTATCAATCAAACTTAATAATTGATCAATCAGAGCAGAGCCAGGGACATATATGCATGTGTGCCACAAACACATGTGTCTATGCATGTGTGCCACAAACACATGTGTCTATGCATGTGTGCCACAAACACGTGTCTATGCATGTGTGCCACAAACACATGTGTCTATGCACGTGTGCCACAAACACGTGTCTATGCATGTGTGCCACAAACACGTGTCTATGCACGTGTGCCACAAACATGTGTCTATGCATGTGTGCCACAAACACATGTGTCTATGCATGTGTGCCACAAACACATGTCGACAAAAGTGTTTGTGTATGTTTTAACCTTGTCGTTTTATGGACCGTTAGCAACAATATCCAAGGGGCGGGGCTAAGTGGAAAGGTCAACTGTACCTAGCCAGTGCACATTTCATCATTTTAAGAGATTTTCATGAGCTCAAACAAGCTGAGTTATCGTGTGTGTGGGAGGATATTAGCTCATGGGCCAACTGTAATCTAACTGACATACATATATTTTTGAGCTTAAAACTGTGTCATTTGGGAAAAAAATTGACCTCTCCAATAAATCCTCTCCCCCAATTTGAATATATTGATTTCTGGTAAAATTTACTTTTATTGATTATTCAAGTATGATTATAGGCTTAAGTATTGTGAATATCTATTCTAATTATAGCACATGCATAACTTATTAAGGTTAATAGACCTAATTAGTCTACTTTCCTTTTGGGTATAAAATCAAAACAGCCTAGTAGGTGGCAGTATTTTGAAAGTTAAATCACCATATGTTAGCCTGAAAAGCATTGGTAATGTTGTTAAATTTATCTCACTAGCTTTGCCAGTTGGATTAGAAGAAATAAATGGGCAATTATGAACATTTCACATGTACAGATGTGTGCGGTGAATGTAGATTGTGTGTGTGTAAGTAGTTCAATCTGTACCATATACGGTAGTATAATGAGCAAGCTGGTCATGAAACTTTCTCAAGCCTCTTTGCCAAATTCAAAAGCATTTTTTTAACACGTATTCTGTTCGTAAATATTTTTACAGAAAGTGCAGAAAAAATTAGTTGTGACAGCAAGTATCTCTAAATCAATGATTCCCTCAGCTCTAGTTGTGGAGATATGTCACCATGCACGCTTAAACTACTGTACATTAGCGTACACTACCTTGAGTAGGCCTACTTTGGTTTTTCAAAATTTAGTCTAAAGTTAAAAAAAAGTATAACAAATTATGAAAGAATGTTGTTTTGGCCAAGCTCAACCACCCCAAAATTTGGCTCGGTTAGAGCGGTATGTACAGCACTCTGTGCATGCATTGTTTTATTATTTAAACTTGGGTTTAAATTCATCACTGTTAGTTGTTTTATATAATAATCATGATCACACCAGTTGAAACACAAGACACAAGTTAAAACTGTAATTTGCACAGCTGCCTCTACAGAAAGCTCACTGTACGTAAACATTTCATGGTTATATAAAACACACAGACTACGGTCAGAGTATAGACACAAGCTAAGCTTTAATTCACTATGGTTGAGAATTTTGTTGTTTGAACTATGGATTGACTCAAACCAGACAATTCAATCCACGCAAAGTTCGTAGGTTGATCTTGGGTTGACGCGGGTTTTGGATTGACGTTTCTAGTCTCACTTGTTTCTGGCCAAATGTTATCAATCACAGCTAGTGACACAATGCCAACGCTTCATAATTTCCAATGAGTTAACCCAGGTCAATATACAGTACCTATAATATTTAGAGTCAACATTTTCTTGCCAGACGCGGGACTGACACCAGGCTTGAGTAGAGTTAGGAGAGTAGAACATTGTATTAAGTTTGCCAAAAGTTTGCCCTTGACTACTCATTCTGCTGATCTTCTGCTGGCGACACGTTTTAAATGTCATGGCAGAGCGTTGCGGAATTGTAATAACATATCTCAGTTACCAATTAAAACAGTTAGATATGCCAATAGTCCCATACCATATTTTATCCGTCTGCTCAATGCGTAAACCCCGGTGATGGTTATCGTAGTGTTTTCTATTTTTCTCACTTTTGTTTGTAAAATTACACGCAATTCGGCCATTGGCCACGAGTTGTAATAGTTTTTAACCTGATGGTTTTGAATAAAAGTATTGAATGAATGAATGAGTAATGCTTCGCTTTGAGCATTAATCTGAATATAGCCACACAGGATACTTGCAATCTACAAGTAAATGTAGAAATGACCCCATGGGGACTGTAGACATTCAGTTATTAAGGAGCTTTTGATTGCACGATGACGGTAGGACGTAGAACGTAATGATGTCATTAAAAGTCATCTGCGCATGCGAGAACGTTAAGGTCACCTCGTCGAGCAGATTCTGGAACGCAATTTGGCCAAATCTATGTATGCAGACAACGTAGGACGCCAGGTAGGACAGTCACGCAGGAGTGATTCTGTTCTAGCGTCGTGTTGTCGCACAAATCGAAAGCTTCCTACTGTCTCACTTGTAAGTTGTGAGGGTAAATACGATTTCAGAGTTCAAAGTTCAAAGAGAGGAATTATGGAATACTATTTCATCATAATACACTAAAGCAGAGAATAAATGAAGGAGGTCCGACTGTCAAGGTTTTTCTGATATGGAATCCTATCTTTTTTTATTTTTCATGGTTACTGTAGTACTAGAAGAAATTTTGTAATGTGCCATACAGCAAACATAAGAAGTTAAAAAAAACAAAAATAGAGTATTAAAGAATGTGGTACAAGTTAATATGATTCAATATATTTCAAACTTTGTATATTCACCTTCAGAAATAATAAGTATATATTATCAATTATGATCAGTCATGCATTTCATTTCATTTTAAAACACCAGTATAATACTAGGGCCTGCAAAAATGTAACAAAGCATGTTTCTCATTCATTGAAAAGAAAGTTAAGTCGTATTTTGTATCCTTTATCATTCATTTTATCTGTCAAAGAGAACTATATAAAAAAAGAATATGTAACTATGAAGAAACAGCATTAAAACGTGCTTGATATTCAGTAGAACACTCGATAGGAATTTACAGCTTATGATATGCTAATGAGATTTATTATGGTCAATAAACAGAACTGGGACTTAATCTCCAATCTATCACGTTTTTCTTGTTCTAAGTAACTTGGACATAATTCTTAAAAGCAGACAAAATTGAAAACAACAACACTTAAGGGACATAAAGATATTATAGCACTGACATAAACATCTGTGTATTTACGATCACCAATTTCTTTTTTCTTTTAAGAAAGATGACAGCATAAATTATTATTGATTTTAGTTGGGTACAGTATTTACTATTTTAAAGTGACCGTAAATAAAAATATATGTATGGTCCGTTTTGAAAATCAGAATAGGCTTATGGCAACCCGCAGCATCCACAATGTAGAACCTACCGGGAGATACTAAAGGGCGGATCCAGAATTTTTCAAACGTGGGGGCACAACATATTCAGAACAGATAAGTGAGAGCGCTAATTTATATACCTTGAAATTTTAAAATTTCGTGGCAAAACGGGGAAGGGGAAGAAGGCACATGTGCCCCGTGTCTCCCCCTACTCCCTACTGGATTTGCCCCTGATACTTCAGGGAGATCTGGTCAAATAAACTTTCTTAACACATCTAATTTTAGTTTACTGTGTGTGGTGATAACTGCCACAAGCTAAAATCTGGGAAAAAGTGATTATAATACAATAGTAAAAACATGTTCCTGTGATTAATAAAGGAAGTTATTATCACATTAATATACTGCAGTCTTCCATCTTTAAAAAGATTAACATAACATCCAGCTTTGGTATGAGCTTTCAATTTCTAAGCTTCAAAAATTCGGATTACTTGGCCTCATTCAAACAGTAATAATAGGAAAGGTACTGGTTTTAAATCCTAATGGGAACAAACACGATTCCACTCTCCTAATGGGAACAAGATTAGTCTAATCTAAATGAAACAGATGATACTGACAGTAAGTGTATTAAACATCTATTCCTCAATGTAGAAGATTACGTATTATAAGAAGTACAGTAGTTAAACACAAATATCTGTAAAATATAGTGTTTACCTACTCTTTGTCAAAAGAAATGTAGTTTAATATTATATAGAGCAACAAAATGTATCACAGTGTTTAAAACATTCTCAAAACTCCAACTTCAACAACTTTTTTTTGGGTCATAATCTTACAAGCATTGTTAATAAACATCAGTAGTTAATGTGCACTTTGAGTAATGCTATTGTCATAGAGCCACTGAACATTGCATTCTGCCGTGGATATTGCCACTACATAAATCCTTATTGATTGATTAAGAACAACATTACAGAGGAAAATATTTTTTGTTGGTAGAGAGGCCCAGCCTTTATTTCACTTTCACTTTATTTTGGAATACCTCCATAAAAAAATTGTACAAAAAATATCATTAAAAATAATCACACAAACATTGTGGTGACGACTGTCAGGTTCAGCAAGTACCCTACCTAGTAATCAAGCAATGTGTCACAACAGCTATAGGACTGTCTCTTATACACATCTAGATGTGTATAAGAGACAGATGTAGAACCTACCGGGAGATACTAACGGGCGAATCCAGAATTTTTCAAACGTGGGGGCACAACATATTCAGAACAGATAAGTGAGAGCGCTAATTTATACAATGCTGTAAAAATATATAGATGTTTAAACATTAAAGAAAAGGAATCTCCGAGTGTGAGAAAAAAACATTGGTGTTTCTGCTGTCAATTTGTACATACTTTTTTTTTACAGAGAAGCATATGCATAATTCAGTACCCATTATGCAGATATTCTTCTGTAAAAAAAAAGCAGATTAAATCATTGATAAGATGAATGGTGGTGAAGTGAACAGGGCACCGATATTTTCAATGTCATCCAGTTGCTGATAATTTAGTGGATTATCTGAATACAATTTTTATTTCAAACTACTAATTTATGTGTAATGTCAGCTGTTAGACAAGCATAAAATGGGGAAAGATCGATTTGACCATAATTTGACATACCCATAAATGCAAGACACATCAATTACTACATCAATCATATCACAGCAGAGTTCATACGACTGCATATCCACTGGTGAACTGTCCGTTGCAATGTAAATCTTGCTGACAACGTCAAACAGAAATGCCTTTTCTATACCAGAGTTCTAAAAAAATTAAACATATAATTACAAGTAAATCAGAATCACAATATTGGTTGTGAGGCTCACCCTAAAAATCTAAAATTTCTAGGTTAACATTAAATTACAATGACAGACAATTTCATCTCAGGTACATTATAAAGGATTAATATTGGAGATGCTTGTCTTTTTTAATTCATAAGCATTAATAAAAATCAAATTTCAGCAATTAAAATTCCTCTCATGGTAAATTAAGCTAGGCACAACTTAGACCCACACATTTCTCCCTCTCCGTGGATCATGATTTGCTGCGTTCTGCATGGGATTTTAATGTACGTCTGGCTAACAAATGGATATCCAGATCAGATGCTCATATCTTTCAATTTAAGTGTTTTAGGTTCAAAATAAATTTCAGGAACCTGAATCCATCTAATGGTGGTTAACATCTTCATTTCCTAATGCAATACACACATCATATATTCTTTTTATTTCATTATGTAAATGACAATTAAGTATTTTATGTTGATTCTTATAGGTTTTATTTCAACTTATAAATGACAGTTAGAGTTGTTTATGTTGGTTTTTTTTAAATTTCACTATATGATGACAGTTAAAGATTTCTGTGTTCATGAAATGAATGTACTGTATGATTGAAGGTTAGGAACTTTCTTATTTTATGTATTTATTATTTTTAGTACGAGTTTTAATGTCTACTTTAATAAAACTTTATCTGAAATCTTATACTTAATTTTACATTAGTTATAAATGAGGACTGTCTCTGGCACACTCAACATTCTGTAACCTTTCGGATAATCGCTCAGTAACATTTTGAAAGTAAGAATATAAATTAAAATCTTGTTCCTAGTTTAAGCATTTATCAGAATAATAAAGTTTTAGAACATTACCATTTTTAAATGTTGTAACATGTAAATGAATGCTAAATATTAATAATACATATGACTACTATTTTTATTGTAACACAGTTGAATTGGATGTTTAACCTGGTATTAATACTACTGTATGTTTTGCTGTTGCACTTATTTTAATTTTACAATGTGAATTTTAAGTCTCTTTTATATCGTACTGTGTTTTTATGTAAATTTTAAGAGTACTGTCATAGAGAAAAACAAATTTTCAATCCAAGTGTAATATTGGACAATAAATGTTTACCTTATCTATCCTATATGTGAGCTGTCATGACAAAATGAGTCATGTGGTACGTCGGGTCAATTTGATTTACCGTATTTAAGAAAACATCTAAAGAGATATTTTTACAAAAATTGGGTTTCAATGTTTCTGATAAGTTTAATATGTATAGTTCATGGTAGCGAACGTTCTGAGCTGAATTACCTAAGGTAAAGGTATTTTTGAGGCACATTTTGTTAATCTTTTTCAGAATTAATAGGACTACTAACACAAGAAATGCATCAGTTGTTTATCTTTAGAAGCGATTTTCTCTAAAGTATGACTTTATACATTTGAATTTGAAATGACATTACTCCAGTTGTACAGTACACTACCTAGGAACCCGATTCAAAACCCAAAATGCAGCTTATTATACAGTTATCTTTACATCAATAACTAATTTTTCATTTTTTGTACCACAAGACTTATTTTGTCACGACAGCTCACATATGGGCTTTGCTTGATCCCAGTTTGGTGAGGACCCAAGCACGAAAAGTCACAAAAGTGCTCTTAGATTTAAACTGGAAAATAAACATAGGGAAACGAGAGAGAAAATATCCAAATAAAAGCAATGGCTTTTATACAAAGAGCCATCTATATCAATGGATTAGACTTCAAATTAAAACCCGTCCTCAATGCTTGTACAAAATAGGAAAATATACAATCAATTAATCAAGAATCTCAACAGATTAGAAATGGTAATTTTTTTTGTATTGAAAACCCTAAAAAATGGTTTTAAAAGAAATATTACAGATTAGAACACGGAAAGACAAAAAAACGATGCTGAAAGATAATGGTATGGTTTTAAAAGAGGTCACATTTAACTACTGTTAAATGTCCCATTTACTGCACTTCACAGTATGGCATCTGTTTTATGACCCTTGGCACCAAGAGATGAAATTGGCAACTATTATTGAATCACTTTCAAAGTTTACCTCAAATTAAATTTTATGTTTATGGATTAGAGAATATAAATATCAAATTTTTACATTACAGCATAAAATTCTAACCACAAGAATTAATCTTTGACGGAAATCAAATCGTAGCTGTATCATACGTGAAATCGTTATTGACAGGAGGCCTGAGTTCAGAAGGACTGATAGCAATGCAGATCAGAGTCTCCATGCATTTTTAAAACTCAGAATGCTGAAAGAGATTTAACTAATTACAACTCAGTAGTATCACCATATAGTAAGAAGAGATAAACGAAGGAAACTGAGGGAAGGGAATGGTCTTATTATTGTATGATGTAAACTGCTTGGATTGTATGCATTTACTTACCGCATTTATTTGAATAAACATCCCATTTGAATAAATGGCCTCATTCAGAATAAACGCCTTCCTCAAACAAATGCCCTGATGAATAAATGCCCTGATGAATTTATTTTTCCTTGAATAAATGCATCCCCTTCCCCTTCAAATGATTGTAAACAAATCTAATGGAAGCAACATCATTCTTAACACATTCTATTAATGTTGTACTCTGCCAGTAGCACTACATTTTTGCTTCAATATCAGGTATCAAACTATGTAAACATAATTTGTTATTTGTCTAATGTAGCAGACACTAGATTTGCTTCAAGCATTATTTGTTACTTAAAAACACATTAATACTCCTCTTGAGTAGATTATAAGGACTACTGTAGATTTCAAGTTGAGTCGCATGTGATTACTGTTTCAAGGTTTTGTCTCTCTTAACATGTATTTGCATTTAACATCAATATAGTAATTCCCAATTCAGATACAATTAGAATAAAAACAACAACATATGAGAGAGCAACATAGCTCACTCAGCTACAATGGTGGTACGGCACTGTGTCTGTGGCAAACCCTTGAGATCCAATGTTAAACTGTTGGTATCTGTTTCAATTCCGACCGTTGTTCTCCTTATGTTTTAGCTAAAGGGCTGAAATTAGAGTACAAAATCACCCACCATCTTTTGAAGATGTTTAAAAACAAACTTAGCCTCATTATCACTTTTCATTAGGGGCTTTCGATTTGCGCGACAAGGTACGTAATGCTAGAACTGATTCCATCATGCTTGACCATCTCTATGTCTGTTCACAATGTAGATTTGGTCAAATTGCGTACTAGAATCCATGCGACGAGGAGGACATTCTTGCATGCGCAAATGACTCATTAGTGACATCATTATGCTCTACGTCTTACTGTGTCGTGTAATCGAAGGCTCCCTATTGTTGAGAGGGGGAGGGGCGCTGGTCTATACTGTATTGGAACACTCTATGAAACCCTTCATAAAAAGGAAACTTGTTAAAAAAATTGAACTTCTCACAATGTCAGGTCTAATTTCACCAAACACAGGTCTAATAAGTTTTGAAAACATTTGTACACAGAATAAGGTCCACTGGTTCCCACTATAGAGATGGAAATATCCCCCTCCATTATCCTTCCCTTGAACTTTAGGTCTTTAGGTCAACACTTCACTGAGAATTACTGAAAGATGCACAGGTGAACCAATACTAGACAGATGTGTATTTTGGAGATAAAGGAAGATTAGGCCTATAATACCTCCATGAATATTCTGACATCCTAGCTTTCGTTTAGCTACTCTTCATATGTGTTTAGTAGAAATATGTATTATTACACCTGGAGTTCTCAATCTTGATGGGGGCCAAGTTAATGCCTGGTTGCTTAGGGCTAGAGTTGACACCCTCTTCGGCCTACCATGGCCGGAGCTAAAGTACACACTGTGATGACAGCTATAAATGATTTGCATGGCACAGTACTCACAGTTCATGCTTACATGCTCAAAGCATGTGTGACCAGATCTGGCAAAACCAGCTATTAGAAGGAAAATTTCAAAATTGAGTGTTTGGAACATCATCTAAATTAGTGAAGTACAGTAACATGCTTGCCTGAAGTCGAATATCAAATGGCTATGACAAACCATTTCAAAGACAGCACTGTCAATATCCCACGGACATAGATATAATAATTTGAAGTGTAATTTTTGCAACTCATATTCTTGCAGCTCATATTTTTAATTTATAGTAGCCAAGTAGACCAACATCACTTGTCATCGCAAATATCTTTTTTGTACTGTTAATATTTTGTGGCAACAAAATTGACTTGTAAAATGCCTATTAACATGGGTACCTCATATCATCTTTCAGCACACATATTAAAGCCAGTGTACTTCATGTATTAATGCTTTGAAAGTACCCCAGGATATTTTTATACCAACTAAAATCAATAACGCATTCCTTCATTTTTGCATCTTTACTTTTAACTTCTTAAAATAAATGCAAAGAGCAATAATTTGGGGTTTACATCACTTTTCCGTACATCATCACAACTGAGTTGATGATGCCGACTAGTAGTCAGTGAAACTGTTTACATTTAAAAAAAGTGAGCATTTTTTATTTTATCTAAAAGGAAATTCCAATCAAAATACCTAATGAAAACCGATGAAGTTTTTCAATCACGATCACAACTGTTTTGAAATTGAACGATGCCTTTATTTACGATGAACTAAAGTGCTGTATTACAATGCTTTTCATTGGATGATACACTTAATGAGAACTTAATTGTGATTGAATTGCTTTTTTTAAAGCACAAAATAATGTTTTGTATTGATATCCATTTCTTTAGAAAAGTGTGTATACCTTAATGTATATGGTGATTGATTATATCATTTCACAAACTTCCTTCCATTAGGAAAACAAAGTGTGCTCTGATGAAAGGAGGAAATCAGATCATGCCTTTCTTCCCACGGCAAGATTCAATAACTAACCAAGACAGACATAGAGACTCAAAAACACCCAGGGAATTGATAGTATTAATACCACATTCGGATTGTTTCTGTATTCAGTCATGTTTGTAAATACAACACATTACTTGGTAAATATAAAAGAGGTGTTTTTGTGTTATCATATATTTGCGTATGTGCGATAGTAATTGTAGAGGGCTCTTAACCACACTGAAACGATATTGGGCTTGAAGAAAGATTATTGAAATAAAAAATAATAATTTTGATTTAAAAAAGAACTTGCATCAACGCAAGTCTGTTTTGGTTCATAATACAATGAACGACGAAAATATATTAATCATAATGTTCATGGAATAAAACCAAGTATACGTATTTGCTAAATTTCAGTCCACCGTCAGTAGATCTTCTTCAGGCAATGAAGCAGGGTGCTAGAGTATTCAAGCAGCTGTCCTGTGAGGAGGTCCAGGGGCACTGATTTTAGTGGTACATGTGAGATAGTATCTTTGTTCTAATGTTTCCTCTTCCCTCTCCACAGCAGGCAGAGGGCGCTATTCAAGTTTGAAATGACAAACAAGATGGCTAACTAACAATGGTAACACTCATCATCTATAAAATTATGTATTAGAAAGCTAATAATTAATCTTACCGCAATTAAGATGTTTAAGAGGTTTTCAAGTGTTGGTAGCTGAGGTATCAATTTCTGGACTACTTTGCTGAATGCTTCAAATATAGAGTGATCATAAATACTGGTCAGATAAAAACTGAAGAGAAATGAAAAACATTATCAGTATTATTACTAAAGTATTCAATGTTGACATAATTGTATCTTCCTATGTGTGAACTGCCCCTATTGGTATGGTAACGTTATCACATCCATATATGGGCATGACGTGACCATATATGAGGCTTGCCATTCTAAAACCAGCATAATAAATGTTCAACTGAGTAATTCGCATAATTAAGGATGTGCCAGATTGTATACTTTAGTACAGAGAAGCTGTAATACTTTTTCTTATAACTTAGGCAATAGTAAGTCGATTCCAGTAGAATGACATATCATTTTAAAGCTTATAATGTGATGAATATATATATCAAAAAGTCAATTTTATTATTTTGGTCACTAATGGTGGCTTTAGCATGGCAAGCCCCATATGGGCAAATCAATGTGTTTTTGTCACAAAATTGAATATACTGTAGCTTTAAATATTAAATATTTCAATGATATCTGCAATGACTGCTTTGGTGGCTGTCAGCTATCATTTCTGATGAACTTCAATGAAGAAGAATTTGTACTTGATTTGCGGATTGTCAACCAACAATTTACCTGTTGGCAATTGAACGATGTAAATTAAACTTTTGGATTCCAGTTCATTTGAGAATATTAATTGCCAGTGACATACTATACTTAATTTAATTCAATAGTAACATTTATATCTCTTTTTCTATTATAGTACAAAATGTCAATTGCATATAATATTCTTAATGAATAAGAAACCAATCTCAAAAAACAAAGCTTGTACATTAATAGTATCTGATTAACATAATATTATTATTACATACACATATAAAAACATAGATACATAATAAATAAAAAAAACCATATTTTTAATGAAATTCTGTGCAGATAATTTATTATTGGTAATAAATTATCTGTGCAGATAATTTATTACCAATAAAACAAAAGTTAATAAACAATATAAATTTCCCTACAGTATAAGAAAACGACATTTGAAATTGCGTTGCATTGCACAGAGACAAGTAATAAAACCTTTCACTAGGTAAATGAAATAGTCAATGAATAGCCCATCTATAGGCCATCGATAGGCTACGGTCTCCACGAGTCAATCGATTTTACCATTCCTCTCATGAGCAGTCACTATATGTATAATATAAAATATTTAATTTGTACTTGGTGGTGGGAAATGAGCTTTCCCGACTTCTAATTTTCTAATTGTAACAAGAAAGGGGGATGTCAGAAACCCTGACCCTCCAGATCTGCCAATCTGAATTGCGAGAAATGTAACTCGGTTGGGGACTGAATAAACACTGTTTCCCCTCCCTCCCCTCCTCTCTATTTTCTTGTATTTCTTTCCAATCATACAAAAATCTCTATAGACAATATATATTTTCTGCCAAAAAGGGGGAGGGGAGGGCCTGGGCCGCCCCCAACCCCTCGTTCTGCCGGTATGACTTCAGGTGGACTTCAATGACAGACAAACAGTATTATGAAACATTTTCAGATTCCTGTTTCTACCACATCAGTGTACAGTATTTTACAAATGTTCCAATATGGCCAATATCACATCTTACTGGACTCATATCAATACAATACTTCCAATATACTGTAAAGGGTTTTGCCACCCTCAATAAATGAGATCCTGACTACTGTAAATCATTGCCTTAGGTGAGACTTTTTTTTAATACATGGTTTCGCAAACTTATTTTTTAAAGATTGTCACAGGAGGGTGGAAACAAAATAAAAATAAAATTTGTTTTCTTATTTAGCAAATACTGGTAGTTTTGCCAAAAACATGCAGACGGAGGAGAAAATAAAAATAAAATTTTATTGGTGAATATAAGTGTAGTAATGGGATGGTTAAATGCTTTAAATTTATATAATTAGGAAGAAATATACATATCTTATTTTAGGATTTCAAGGCAGCGGTGGGCGCAATGAACATTTTTTTTTCTTAATTTCCACTTTTTCGTGGCGGCAGGTGTGATAATTGGCCAAATATAAAATTTTATTTTACTTGAAATCATCATTATTGCCGGGGAGCAGGTTCGCTAAAACAAAAGGTATGAAAACGTCACCATTTAACTGCTCCACATTCAAATAAACAGTTACTGGAGCAAAGTATGACAGCTAATATGAGTAAACTTTAAAGTCTTCTTTATATTTAGCTGGTAATAAAGAATTATTACAAATTTCCTGAGTGTATTATTTGTGTTACCTTTCAGTTTCTGGGATATCGACAAAATGATAGGAACAAAGTTTTAAATGGAACAGTTTTTGTTAATTTTAATTCATTTCAATAGGGTCAAGTAAACTTGTTTTTCTTTCCAATGCAATCACATTATAATACATCATATTTTTACTTTAATAACCACACCATTGGACAAAGTAGTCAGAGGTTGAATTGCAATATATGTACACAAAAAAAGTAAAATCAATTACAGGTGTACTATCAGTCATGAAGTAAAAAAAAAAATGAAGATTCTCTTGTCAATTTTCATACAGTTTAAGTAATAACTTTCCTGTATACTTCTGTATAGATCGTTAAATTGGCTGGTAATTAATTAAAGGCTTTTTGTAGTAAAATGTCTGTAAATCGCTGAAAACTGCTTTTTTTTTTCGATGTTTCTCATTGGAAGCTAATAATTTATTTGATTCTTTCAAATTAGCTATTCAAAATTTTATATGAATTTTTGAGCCATTTTCCAGTCTTTTTGATTGATAGTATCTTCAAGGCATTTGCATGCTTACTTATGCATGCAAATGCATACTTAATATTTTCTTTGATTGACATGATAATATTTTTCACTAGACACAAATGATGGCAATTAATCTGAGCGTGATAGAGTAAAATATGTTGACGAAGTACACACTGAACACTGTCATCATGTTGTTACAGTAAAAGTGAATAGTATCGATTCAACATTTACTTAATGCTTCACAATGCAGGATGGCTACTAGTCTACAATGTTCTTTTTTTCATATGCATTAGCATCTGTTTTCTAGAGTATACTTTCATTGCTATGTAAATAAAACATAGCTTACTCAACGGCAAATGCAGTACAGTTAGGGCACTGCAGATTAGGAAATTCTCTCATTTATTGTTTTAAACATATTTCCGTGTTTCTATTTTTCGTCCTTGTTTCTCTTCGAATTTTATGTTTGTGTAGTTTGTTGATTATTGATCGAATAAATGAATGAATTAATTCTTTTACAGATATTTAGTGATGTGAATTGCAGATCTTTAATCACAGCACTAATAATTGGAATATTATTTGGAAAGGATAATGAATGAAATAAAATTAAAAAACACATTTTTGATCTCCTAAATAGTATAAATTCTTGTATTGTAATGGGGGTTAAACCAGATAAGAGAAATCTTCATTTTTAACCTACTACTCCATGCGTATTTGCTTTAATTTACATCTTGTATTTTAAATGTATTTCGAATTTTGGGAATAAAAGTTAATGAATGAATATTTCAGTATGCAGATGACACTATTCTTTATAGAAGTAGGTGTCATAGACATATTCTTGCATTACAATCAGATCTTGATTCCATCTATAACTGGAACATGTCTAATTCTATTAAACTTAATGAAAAATAAATGTTAAGTCATGAGGTTAACAAGATCCGTTAACCGTTCTCATAACCAACATATAACATTAATGGTATTGATCTCATTTAAGTTCGTAGTTACAAATACCTTGGAGTTACAATGTCCAATAATCTTGATTGTGGACTGCATGTCTCCAAACACTGACTCTAAAGCATCTAGAACGCACAGGTTTTATTCTTAGGCTTATCTGTCATCGGAACCCTAAAATTATTGTCAAGTTTTACAACTCTCTTGTCCGACCTATAATCAAATATGGAATTCCTGCTTGGGTTCCAAAAGATAGGTCATATTACAGAGTTCATCCCGATTCCTCAACTTCTCATTAGTGTTGCCATTGCATAAAAAAGCAGAGCAGTGCAGCAGGTTGGAACCCATCTTAAAATGTAGGGTTCAAATCCTAAAATTCTAGTGTTTTTTTTCTCACAACCTAAATCCACTCAATAAAGGGAGCAGCAATTCCCTTGGATGGCAGTGGTTTATTCCACTTTTGCTGCTCCCAGGATTGCTCTGAATTTTGATGTTTCTTTTGTATTTCCTTGCTGAAATAATTAAAAGATAAAACAATAAATAAACCTGCTGCACAAGTGAGTAAAGAACTTTGCAAACAGTAACAATTATTGTTTCCTCTCACATGCGATGCAAATTGTAGAACTTTTGACCATGCAGGACAATGAAAAGAAAATGTCAATCATGTTTTGATACTGTGTGCCTAAAAGATGTCAGTGTATGGAGGAGTTGAGCTATCAGCTGAGCAAGACACCACTAAAGCTGTCCAGACTATCAAACTTTATTTGACAAAAACATGTGACATGCCTAAATATGGTCATGATGACATCACATCATAACCATATATAGGCACATCATGACTATATATGGGCATTCAACAGTTTTTTTTTTTAAATGAAAATGTGATAATCTGGACAGACCGTAAGAAAATTGCGTAGAATGTTTACATAACATGGCGAGTAAAAACAGGCGAAGTCAAAACTTTACGAGGTTAACACAGATTTGCAAAAGTTATTTATAGTTGTTTAATCTCGCATCTTGTGAGGTTAAATAAACTTTTGTCTACAACGGATACTGTAGCATTACACTATTGAACAGTCAATACTTCTTATACTGTACACTGCGTCACAAATCTGCCACCTACTATAATGATTATTTAAAGTAAAAAATAAATTATATCTTAATCCTTTTAATGCACACATTGCCATGAAAGAAAAAGGAAATTGCAAAAGAAATTAATTTGTTTCATTTAAATTTATCACACCTGCCGCTAACATAACATTCCTTCCTTATAAGTAAATTAAAATATAAAGCATTTACCAAACCAATTATTCAACTGATGCAATATCACATTCTGTTTCACCATTATAATAGCATCTCGAGAGCAGGACAAAGGGCA